GTCCTGAGGCACACCTGTTTTACAGAAACTAGGTTTATAATCCTACCCGGAAGGTCTTCTGGCAAATGTATCTGTGTTTCTAGCCTCAAACAATAAGACCTACTATTAGAATTAAATCCTTCAATCTATGATGTAATCAACAATCCAATGCCAAACTATTCATCAGACTAGTGTACCCACCCATCTTGCTCGAGGCCTGATGTAACCATCCTGGCAGGAGTGAAGAAAGCCACTTTTGCTCCTCCCTTTAGCTATCAGACTTTGGAAATGATAGTCTCCAAAGAATGATGGGAAAAGGGCTGACGCCTGGTGCCAGTCTAAGGAAGAGCTTGGTTGCCAGGAAGAGATTTCACACAGTTCTGAGAACTCGTCAGACTACCTCGCAACACAGACAGGAGCCAGACAATGATAGGTGGTTGACAGGCAGGACCACATTTGACCAGAAACTTCTTACTTAGGAATACCACTAGTGACCACTAGCGGAGGAGAAGGGTTCCAGACATTCCTGTCCTTCCTCATCTTACTATCACCCCTACTGCTGTAAAATTAAAGGACATTAAAAATAGTTTTTGAGAAGCTGGAATTGATGGTCCAAATCTGTAATCCAGTACTTGGAAGGTAAAGGCAGGAGAATAAGGACTTCCTGGTCACCCTCGAGTCCATAGCTGAAGCTACATGAGACCCAGTCTCAAAAAACCCAAAAATATAAACACAAAAATGTATTATTTCTGAGAACCCTGAGTGCCATGCCAAAAGGAGTTGACTACCCAACAACAGAAATGCAAAATAAGGAAATGACTTTAATAACTGTATTTTATAGAAAGTATCTATATTAATTATTCATCTCATTGTTGTGATAAAGTACCTGACCAAAGAAATTTCAGGTTTATTTTGGCTCACAGTTCAAAGGAACAGTCTATCCTGTAGGGAAATAATAGTGTTAGGAGCTGGAGGCACCTGGTCACTGTATCCAGTCCAGAAGCAGACACAGAGGAACACCGCTCTTCAGCTGGCTTCCTTTTTATGCAGTACATATAGGATGCCCATCACACACCATGATGCCACCTACACTCAAGGTGGGTCCTCCCATTTCAATTAATCCAACCTAACAATCCTCATAGGTGTGCCCAGAGGCTTGTCCATCTGGGGTGAACAGACATGTATGTCGCATCTCCCCAGAGAAAGTTTTGTCACACAACAACCACCTTTCCTTTTTTACAGAAACTCTTCCTTTTAGGCGCAGTCCCTCATCTATTCTATGGGATGAGAATGAATCAGCTCTAAACGGGACAGGGACTTAAGGGGTGGCTCAGCACCTAACGCTTGCTACTCAAGTACTGAGGACCCAAGTTTGGTTCCCAGCACTCATATCTGACAGCTCACAATTGCCTTGGATCTTCAGCTCCAGGGGTTCTGATGCCCTCTTTTGGCCTCTGCAAATACTTGCATGTACGCACACACAGAAGGGAAGAAGAGGAAGTAAAGAAGAGAGTATGAATGTATTAAAATAAGTCTTTAAACGCGCACAGAGAGGGACTGTCGTGGAACATTAATTTAAGATGTGTTACATTTGTTTATGCTGTGAAATATGTAATGATACAACGATGTGTCTCATTTGTTTGATTAAATAAAATTAACTTGCGGTCAGGAGACTGAGTCAGCAACTAGCTGACAGGAAGTGGTAGGGAGGAACCATGTATAGTTGGGGTTCTTAAGAGGGGGTGGAGCAGAAGGCTGTTTGGTTTTTTGGGAGACTCCAAGCTAAGAAAGGAGGTTAGTTAGCTATGTGCTATTCAGCCTCACTGAGTGAGCAGAATTTCACCTAAACCTTTGAATCCTGAGTTCTACAGAGGGATAGAGATCTAGATAAAGGTCCCTTTAGCAGCCCCTGATAGAGCCAGTACCTGAGGGAACAAAGTTCCTGTCCGGCTATGGCCAGTGCCTCCAAACAGCTACTGGTAGCTGCAGAGTTGCAACTGCCTATTAGGACAGCAGTTGCTAAAGAGGCAGCTACTGAATTTAATGAAAAACAACAAGAGACACTGAGACAGAGAAGGAGATAGTGACCCAAGGTGGCCTTGTCAACTCTTTAGTTTGCAAACATAAAAGTCCTTTCTGGGAGCCTTTCTTCTAATGCTGCTGAAAAGAATGTTCTCTCTCCACAGAAGTTTGGGATGCCATAGACTATTATACTGTCATGAAGAGAGGGCTTATCAATAGACATAGAGTGAAACAAACATTATTTGAGCCATAGAATCCACCCATGCCCCTACTGATGAACTTTTGATGGTGGTTTTTAGTCAGACAGGGTCTTGATACATAGCCTAAGAGCCTAAGAGCTCCAACTTGCCATCCTCCCTTTATAGCCTCCTCCTGAATGTTAGGATTATAGGCTTGTGCCACCACACTTGGTTTATGTAGTGCTAGGGACTGAACCTAGAACCTGGGAGTGCATGCAGGCATTCAGGCACACACACTAAATAAAGGTAATGTTGAAAAGTTCTTGAGATTGATCTAGGGAACATGTGAGATGACAGAAGGAAGATTAAATTATAATTAAAAATTAAAAAGCATTAATAGGCCGGACGATGGTGGCGCACGCCTTTAATCCCAGCACTCAGGAGGTAGAGGCAGGCGGATCTCTGTGAGTTCGAGACCAGCCTGGTCTGCAGAGCTAGTTCCAGGACAGGCTCCAAAGCCACAGAGAAACCCTGTCTCGGAAAAAACAAACAAACAAACAAAAAACCATTAATAGAGGGCTGGAGACATGGCTCAGTGCTTAAGAGCATTGGGTACTCTTACAGAGGATCCAGGTTTGATTCTCAGGAACCACCTGTCTGTCTACAACCACCTGTAACTCCAGTTCTAGTGGATCCAACACTTCTGGCCTCTACCAGCACCAGGCACGAGAGTGGTACACAGACATACATGCAGGCAGAACACCCACACACACGTAAATTTTAAAACAAACAATGACAAAAACACTGAGGGAAAGTAACAACTTGATGCCTATATCTGTAGGAGATGAAAGATGAGTCAAGAATGTATAAAGTGGGGGCTGGAGAGATGGCTCAGTGATTAAGAGCACTGACTGCTCTTCCAGAGGACCAGGGTTCAATTCCCAGCACCCACATGGCAGCTCACAACTGTCTGAAGATCCAATTGCAGGGGATCTGACACTTCACACCCATGCACATAAAATAAAGTTAATAAACCATAAAAAAATATTTTTTAAAAAAGAAAGTATAAAGTGTAGGGATTTAAAAGAATATAAAATCTTTAAATATTTTATTTATTTACTATTTATGTGTGTTGGTGAATGCATATAAATGAATGTGAAAGAAATGGTGCAAGTCTCAGGAGATAATATAAGTTATTTAAAACTTGATAATTTGATGTAATTTGTTTATTAGTATAGTCAGAATGTGTTGAAATATGTAATGGTTACTTCTTAGGTCTTTAAGTTTAATTTACAAATATTATATTTTTTAGATTTCATAATCATAAAATACGGACACTTCTACTTTGCTATGGTCTAATTCACAAGCTTAATTAAGTATTTCTCATTTAATGTTATATGTATTCAACTAGTTGTGTTTTCTTAAGACATTTAAAACTATGATCACAAATGTTTTACAAATGTAATAATATCTTTCTGAGCATTTAGATAACTTTTGCAAATCTAATACCATTAAACCAATCTTGTACATGTGGTCACTAAATAAATGGCCTTCATTTACCAAGCTTCATGGATATCAAAAGCTGAGAGAGCATAAATCACTAGTGATAATATTTACAGAAATAATGAAACTATATCATCATTGTTAAATGTTACAGATTCTGAAGCTGGGCAGTGGTGGTGCACGCCTTTAATCACAGCGCTCGGGAGGCAGAGGCAGGTGGATCTTTGTGAGTTCGAGCCCAGCCTGGTCTACAAAGCAAGTTCCAGGATAGCCAGGCTGTTACACAGAGAAACCCTGTCTTGAAAACAAAAACAAATGTTATAGTTTCTGGCAAAGATGGAGGTGTATCACCCCAGTCTTCCTTCAAAAAAGGACAAGTTGCCCTGTTTGGGAGACTGTCTCTAGCTGTCAATTCTTTCAGGATTTGTCTGAGCAGCCATCATTCCCTTTCAGGGCATCTACTAGCTGAGAGAGATAGGGCAACACACAGCCCAGAGCGGACACTGACCCACAATACTGGATTCAGAGCTTCTTGGCTCACCCTCTCTTCTGGAGAACTGGACTGCAGTGCAATCCAGCCACAGAACTGCCACCTCAGACCCCACAGGCACTGAGCTTTTGTCACTCTTCCAGTGATGATCTTACTTGAGCCCTAGGTTACAAGGTTTTTTTATTTGGTGTGTGTGTGTGTGTGTGTGTGTGTGTGTGTGTGTGTGTACCTGTGAGAGATTAAACTTGGGAATTGTTCTTCAGGAGCCCTTCTGGGAGGCAGAGGCAGGTGGATCTTTGTGAGTTCAAGGCCAGCCTGGTCTACAAGAGCTACTTCTAGGACAGGCTCCAAAGCTACTACAGAGAAACCCTGTCTCGAAAAACCAAAAAATAAAAAATAAAAAAAAAGACTGTTAAAGAGAAAAATGAGTTAATACATTTAAAAGTGCATACAGCCCTCGCTTCTACAGCATATTCAATAAATACTAGCTATTGTCATTATTGGCTGAGTTCTCCATTGCTTGTATTTATCTCATAATCAGTGTTTTCTAATAATTTGGCAAAGCAATTACAGAAAACCATCTGTATGTCTGAACATTGTAGAATCTTCAGTCTATTAATGTTTAATTATTCTTCCCATTGTTTTATTTTTGAGTTTTTTTTCAGTTTCCAAAGATACAAACCAGATATGTGAAGTTTAGATTTCTGTAAACATAAAATAAATGTATGAAATATTCCAAAATTATTTTGAAGCTAGACAAGTTCATTCGGCCCTGAAAACTATTATTAGGCGTTAGGTTTCTTTCACCATATAAAGATGACTGATCACAAGTTGAAGAAGCATGTTTAAGAAAAAGAGAATCTCCCCTCGGTGTTAATGCCAAATGGAGAATTTTCTGTCGTTGCTTGCAGGGTCTGAAATAAACGACCCAACCTTCAGCCATTTCTGTGAAGTCTCAAAAGGCCAAAATGTTATTTTGAAAATAACGAAACCCAGTGTCTAATACGACCTGTACTTTCACACACTGCGTCTATTTCAAGGTGCCGATCTGGGGAAAGCCTTCGGATCTACAGGGATGCCACACAATAGCAAAGAGAAGAGCGCACACGGCCTCAATCCTAACCTCGCCCTTTTGGGAAAAAGAGGGGACGAAGATGGACGACTTAAAAATGCAAATGCAGCCCACCAGCGGAGGGGTCAGGGATGAGTCGGTAACTGAGAGGCACCTCAGAAAGAGAAAAAGATCTAAGGACTTTCCCCTTCGTCTCACCCCTGGGCCACATGGGAGACCTGACTACAGGAGACTTGACCTCGGCAGGGCCTGATTGCCATGGCCGAGGATGATGCAGAGGGGAGAAAGTGAGTTTTCCCGCTTCCCGGTGCTGAACGTCCGGGCAATGGAGTGGGGCTGAGATCCAGCAGCACCGGCTCGCGAGCTTCCGATCCACACCCGACAGCGCCGCCCGCTCAGGCCACCTGAGCTGAGGGAAAAGCCGGCCTGGGCTCCGCCTAGCTGGCAGCATCACCCAGGTGGAACTGCGGAGCCCGGGAATCCGCTCCTGACCCAGCGGCGGACCCGGAGCTCAGCCGCCCGGCGCCTCTACCAAGCCTGGACCCTTAGTCCCGCCTCAGTGCTCAGCGAGGACTGGTGACGAAGGATAAACTCTGGCGCTGATTGGACGGCGGCGAAGTCGCTCAGATCGTAGCGTCTGGCCGCCGCGGAGCACTGAAGGGATTTTCAGTCCCAAGATCGAAAGCCTTTGAGGCGTCGTAGGGTATCCCCGAGCTGACAGCATCACCCCGCCCCGCATCCTCCTCCCCCGGCTTTGTTTTTCATCCCTCGCTCCTCCCTCCAGTCCGAGACGGCTGGCTCTAAACCTGGTTCAGGGCTCGCTGAAGGTGAGGGCAGAGGCGCCCGCGAGGGGGCCGCTCTGAAATGGCCGCTGGCTGGAGCTGTCTAAGATGGCGGTCTCGTGCTGGCCTGGGACCGGGGCGCTCGCTGCGCTGCAGCTGTAAGCTGATGGGATGGAAAGGTGTTGACACGACTTCGTGTCGACGGCACAGGTGACATCCCGGGGCGAGAGCAGTCCGGAGGCCAGGGTGGGCTACGGCGGGAAGCGAGCCTCCGGGGGCGTGGCGGTCCGCGGGCAGTGCACGCCCGTGACACTCCGCCCCTCCCCGAGTCACCGCGGGATGGCTGTCCCCGGCCGCGGGGTGACCGTGTCGGAAAGACGCCTGGCCTCTCCTGCTTTCCTGCTTCCTAGCCTTTGTGATTGGCCTGCGCTCCCTCCCCTTCGACAGCCGACAGCGAAGGCTAGGAAGGTGGAAGGACTGCTTGCCTTTCAGTTCAGACCAAAGGGGAGACCCAAGTGTTCCCCGTTCAGGGAGTGAACTGAAAACTTAGGAGCACAGGTTATTTGTCCTCAAGAGCTGGCAGAAATTACCTCTGAAGAGAAAGGCATAAGGCGCTGTTTTAAGAAAATGAAGCTACTTGTTCTCTGCCCACTTGACAAGGGGAGGGGATTCTAATTTTATGGTGAGCCACTGGTTCCATGAAATGGTTTTGTTTTGTTTTTGCCAAATTCAAATCAAGACGGGAATAGGTTTTGTAACTGCTGCCCGTCACAGTTGCAACACACTGGGAACCTGTTTCTGCACACATACCCACTCTTGGTACCAGGTGGCTGTAGCGCTTGATGAAATAGAAAAGTCACACGTAATGGAGAAGCACGTGGGATGTACAGTCAAGCTTTGGGGGCTCTGTTCTTGATTCTTCACTCACAAAATGTGTTAACCTAGCGGGCAACAACTTCTCCGTGCCTTTTTCTAAAGTGCAGTCATTAACATTCCCAGGTTCTTGACAACTGGATGAATTAACCTATGTGTGGAACTGCGCACAGATACTGACAGTTCACAGATAATAATAAACAGTTACTCAGTAAGCATTAGTTGTCAGATTGGGGACAGAATTTGGTTATCATAACGGCATATGTCGTGTAACACTCGCGTGTGTTTCATTTTAGCTTCAATGCTTAGTTTTAGAGATATTGAGATGAGACAGTCCTTTTTAAAAATAGGCTTTGTCTTGTTTTTTCTAAAAAAAAAAAAAATTCCTGTGTTGTCAGTGGGTAAGAAAACATTTCAAAGCAGGAAAATTGCCGGAATAGTAAGGAGAATGAAAATATTAGCATGTTTACGACATGATGGGCACTTTGTGTTTACATCTAAGAGCTGCATTGTGTGGAGAATCATTTGTGTTGACTACTTACAACACGATAGATGTTCATAGTGGAAGTTTGCGCTTCTGATTGGTGCAATGTCTAATTTTAACTTTCCTTGTTCTAGGCTTCTGGTTACTCCCATTCCCACCCAGTCCCTTAATTTTATTCTTTTGAAGAGTCTGCATTTCAAACTATCAAGATGGAGAGAGTGATTGCAGAAAGAAGTGTTGGTTTCAGGTATCTTACCTACTGGCGGTTGACAGGAAAACCATTTGATTGAGAATCTGAAAGGAAAAGACAGCTTAATTTGTAACCTCAACAGGATCAATCTGTATAGCTTACAAATTTAATTTAAAACTTAAAAAACAGTATTCATTAGATAGTTTTAAGTTTGCATTACTCTTCTATTTCTTTTGTTACATAAGAGAAAAACTTTTTTTTTAAATATTTATTTATTTATTATGTATACAATATTCTTTCTACATGTATGCCTGCAGGCCAGAAGAGGGCACCAGACCTCATTACAGATGGTTGTGAGCCACCATGTGGTTGCCGGGAATTGAACTCAGGACCTGGAATTGAACTCAGGACCTTTGGAAGAGCAGGCAATGCTCTTAACCACTGAGCCATCTCTCCAGCCCCAAGAGAAAAACTTTTTAAAGTGGGTTTATATTTGTTTGTTTGTTTCATGAGACTGGGTTTCTCTGTGTAGCTTTGGAGCTTGTCCTAGAACTCGCTCTGTAGACCAGGCTGGCCTTGAAGTCACAGAGTTCCGCTTGCCTCTGCCTCCCGAGTGCTGAGATTAATGGTGTGCACCACCACCACCTGGCGAGTTTATATTTTCTTAAGATTCTGACTATTACTTCTAACACAACAGTAGTCAGAGTAATTAATAACATTGTACACTACTTTTAAAAAGTCTTAATTAAGATAATGTAAAATTATGTTCTCTTAAGTCCAGAGAAGAAATATCTCCTTTTTGGTCTGTAGTTTACTCCTTATTGTTAACACAAAATGCTTAGGATACACTAGAATTCTCTGTCTTGGAAAACAGTGTTTTCAATATAGCTTATTAGATTTGTTGCAGCCCTGGAGAGAGACTTCTGATATACAATACTATCAACATTAAATGCATCTAATGACAACAGTTATCAGAAAGATAAAAGAAATTCTAAGATACTCTCTGCTATGAGATAAGGTTGGTAAATTATAGGCCACACAGTCTGTTTTGGTATATAAAGTTTTATTGGAACACCTACACATTCTTTCATCTGTTGCTATGCTGTACCAAAGAGTTGAACAGTTGCCACAGAGCCTATATGACCCACAAAGCAAGCTTTTTTACTGTATGGTCTTAAGTGGTTACTAACTCTTGCCATGGAAGGGTTCCTAAAGATGTTTCTAAAGAGCTCTTCCTTGAAATATACAGATTATTATTTCGTAGCCTAATAGTTCCCAGATTGTTTTTTAGAATGTTAATATTCTATGAGTCTTTTGAGAAAAAAATTTATATTATCAATAATTTTCTTTGTAATTTTACTATAAGTTGATTTGAACGTAAGTTTGACTACTAAACTCATTTCTGTAGTTTTTATTTTTATGTGATAATCTGCCCTTAAGAAAGGTGTGCCGTACCTGAGAGCACCAGGAAGTCGCATGAGATCACCTGATAAAAGAATAAAAGAACAAGTGATGTTCCATCTTCAAAATGAAGCATTTACAAATTAACCAGTGTGTTGCTATGTATCTTCTCTCTTCTTTGTTTCTCGTCTTATCATTTCAAACCATATGTGATACTCGGTGTTAAATCTAAATAAGCCCTGTTTTGCACCACAAACTCATTACCCCTGGATCTTTTGCTGAAACAAGGAAGTATTAAACAAGGAACAGAATCATTTTGTTCCCAAATTGTATCTGAATCAGACAGTCAACAGGTTGGGATAGTACAAAGTGAAGATGAACCTTTGAAGTCTTCAGTTTCTATAAAACCAGAAGGTGAGCTTTCCAGGGTCGAATTTATGTCCAATTCCAATAAAATAGCAACATTGAGTAAGAAAATAGAAAGGAGAAACTATGATGAAAGTTATTTCTCCTTTGGATTTACTTACTTTGGAAATCAAGATATACCCCATGCTCAGTGTGTATTCTGTAAGATTTTATCCAATGCTCTTTAGCCCCAGTAAGCTTCAAAGACATTTAGAAACTAAACAAGCTGTATATAAAGGTAAAGACATCAGCTTTTTCAATAGCATCTTGATTCATCTAAACATAATAAACCTCCAGCACCTAATCTCTCAATACAGATAATGAAGTTAATCTGTCAATGCAAGGAAGATGTAACAGTGTTTACAGTGTTTGATAAAATGTCATCATTGTAGAAAAAATAAAGAATAAAAGAAAATAGAAAAAATTTTTAAAAAGAGGAAAAAAATGTCATCATTGTTAAGAAAATTGGAGTTTGGGGCCTCATCTGTAGAAGGAAACTTTGATTGTGTGGTCTATGGGGATTTCAAAAGTTACTGGGCTGATCTTTTAGAGGGTCTTACACAGCTCTCTACCTTTATTAGCTGACAAAAAAACCTTTACTAAAGTTCAGTAAAAAGAAGAGAAGGAGGATAGTGAAGGAGAACCAACAAAAAAAAAAAAAAAAAGGAAAGATTTCTTACTTCACTAGTTGGTATGGTGACATGTGTCACCGTATTTGGGTTTTTGGCTGTGGCTCAGGTACTCTGTGACCAAGAATTCAGTATGGCCATTCTGTGGAAGTCACTGAGATGTGCCCTAACATTTTGATACACTCTGAACTACAGAGGGAAGGGGGAAGAAATAATGAATACTTAGGTATTTTCTCAGTTCTTCTTAGATTATTTCAAATTCCATTGCACTTTAGCAATTATGAGACTTGGATGACTAACTTAATTTAGTAATGCTATTAATTTATTCTTGGAATACTATAAAAATGTCCTGTTGATTTACTGTCTTTGAACTGCTTTTCCTATAACATTGATAACCAGTTCTGGTAAATATTTCATGCTGCTCCGGTAAAGAGCTACCACAAATAGTCATTATCTAATCTCACTCACTGAAACTTTTATTCTCCTATTTTGGCAAATTATGGTAAAATGGCTTGGGCTCAAATGTCCATTCTACTACTTACCTAGATGTTTGACTACAGCATTCTGAACTTTGCTAAACTCCTGTTAATTCTTTTGTTTTTATTTTATTGGGGTGTTTCTCTGTGTAACCTTGGCTGTCCTGGAATTCAGTGTGTAAACCAGGCTTGCCTCGCATTCACAGAGATCTTCCTGCCTCTGTCTCCCGAATGCTGGGATTAAAGGTGTGTACCACTACCAGCCAGCTCAGTTAATTCATTTTTTAAATTAGCTTTTCAGGGTGATTTTTAAAGTTAAGAGAGAATGTGTTTAAAGACTGTGACCCAGATAAGTGTGTGACATATGTTCTCTACTGTATCAAGTGTTCCCAATCAATTTGACTTAACATTTCACTGAGTCTCAATAGTTTTCTAAGCCAGAAAACATTTTTTTTAAATGTTAAGCAGTTCTTTTATTTTTTTTTAAAGATTTATTTATTATGTTTACAACATTCTGCCTCCATGTATGCCTGCACACCAGAGGAGGGCGCCAGATCTCATTATAGATGGTTGTGAGCCACCATGTGGTTGCTGGGAATTGAACTCAGGACCTCTGGAAGAGCAGCCAGTGCTCTTAACCTCTGAGCCATCTCTCCAGCCCACCAGAAAACATTTTGATAAGAGGCAAAATGAAACACTTCTGTCAAGGTTCTCGCTCTCCTCCTGCCTTTGTCAGCTTTGAAAGAAACGTCTATTTGTCAGTCACCTTAGTACATGTGTTGTTTATGATTAATGTTTCTGACAATACTGCGAGACTTGGGCTTGAGCAAGGTCACACTGACTAACAAAATTTAGTCTTTCTCAAAGATGGTACTTTTCTCTGTCATTGCCTTTCAGACTTTTCAAAGAGTGAACAGTGACTTTATAAGTTCAGCCCATCCCCTCCTAAAATCTGAATATTTCTTTGAAATCTGTTTTTTTCTAAACTCATCCAAAATGGACCATTTACTTTAAACTATAACTTTATTTTCCTGTAAAAAAAAATACCAGTTGCTGTAATACAAAGTTAAATATTCAAAAATACATCATAGTTTCCCATCGGTGCTGTACATTCTATGTACAAGCCTGGTATTAAACACACCCCAGTTTGAGAAGCATGTGCAGAGCTGAGCCTGTGTCTGTCTTGAACTGAATCTGGTAATTAGAAGACTCCATGTGTGATTGCTGGGCTTGATTAAATCTCTCTCCAGGATGTCTCGTTCTTCAAATACATTCTTTTCCTGTCTTTTTCTGGACCACGTTGTTGGGCAGTCTGGTTTCTTCTATTTAAATTCGATTTCTTTAACTGGGACCCTGTTGTCTGCTATTGGACGTCTAAGACTGACCTTACCCAACTTGACACCAAGTATTCTGAAACCTGTCTGGCCCCTTGTATTATGACTTGCATAACTAGAGAGAGTGGGCTGCTAGCTATAAAGATGGTCTGTTGCTGGCTGGATGATTACTAACTCCACACCATACCTTCTTCTGACTTGTTCTATTCTCTTAGTTATACCTGAATCCCCAAAGAGAAGATTCTTTTCCTCTGTGTTTAAATACTTCTTGCCCTTAACAAGCGGGCAGCACTGCCAGTCCCCGTGACGGTTCACAAGCCCTTTGGTTATTGTGCAGACAGCATCCTTGAACACAGAAGCCTCTCCAGCCAGAGGGAAGCCACTCTCTGATCACTCTTCCACAAAGAAAAGAAGTCTTAAAAGAAGAAATAAACATCATTTGACTTAATAGAACAACTACTTGGGGTCTAAAGGGTACTGTCAAGGACTACCTACCCAGCCTACCTGTGGTAAGCAGTGAAGCTCAGAGGAGTTCAACTCCAAAGGATTTTATCTTTAATCTCTGTATTTCAAATAGTTGAAATTACTTAGATTTCTTAGTGAGGATTGTCCCTTTTAATCTGACTTATATCCACACATAAGGTTTCTCGTGGGTCATTTATAAAATTCATTTCTTTTTTTATTTGGTTTTGGTTTTTGTTCTTTTGAGATGGATTTCTCTGCATATCTCTGTATGTTCTGGAACTCTCTTTGTAGACCATGTTGGCCCCGAATTCTCAAGAGATCCACCTGCCCCTCTGCCTCCTGAGTGCTGGGATTAAAGGTGAGCGCCGCCATGCCCAGCAGCAACACTATTTTTAACAGCAACTGTATGTATTTTTCTTTCAAGACTGGGTTTCTCTGTACAGTCCTGGCTGCCCTGGAACTTGTTCAGTAGACCAGAGTGTCCTTGAACTCAGAGACTGACCTGCGATTAAAGGCTCGCACCACCACCCTGCCAAATTTCTAATCATAGAAAAGTGGATTGAATTTTCTAGCTAAAAGGTGAACTACAATTCATAAAGCCTCCCGTAAACAGGGTCAGAGACTAGTCTGGATTTTAAGTGCTTCAAAGGCAGCATTTCATTGGAAAACTCCCTGTTGCCTTATGATTGTTTATCCCTAAAATGGAATCACCTACAATTTACAAAATGGCTTTGGAAACATGGAACTGTTTGGAAACCTGTGGAACTGATGCATGTTTCTTTCTTTTCTTTTTAAGCTACTATAAATGAGTACTGTTAATTAGCTCAGTGGAAAGAATTCTAGAGTAAGTATCAAGAGACTTGTGTTCCGTAACTAATTAACTGTCTTACATTTAAGTTCATCCCTCTCTAGGCTTTAGTTAATTTTTTTAAATGAAAAGACTTAACTGAAGTGAGCTCTAAAATTCTTGCAAGATACGATCAAAGTTTAAACTCAAATAAGGATTAGGGACTCAGTTATTTGAAATTAAAAAGTGTGTGTGTGTGTGTGTGTGTGTGTGTGTGTGTGTGTGTGTGTTTGTAGATAATGGCTTAGTCATTCAGAACATTTAGTTACTCTTGCAGAGGACCCAGGTTTTGTTGCCAGCACCTACATGGTATCTCTTAACCAACTATAACTCCAGTTCCAGGAGATCTAACTCTTCTGACCTCTATGGGCACTAGGCACACATGTGGTATACTTATATACATTCAGACAAAACACTCAAACACGTAAAATTAATAAGCCTAAATATTTTTGTTTTGTTTTTTGAAGCAGGGCTTCCCTGCATAGCTCTGGCTGTCCTAGAACTTGCTCTGTAGACCAGGCTGGCCATGAATTCACAGAGCTCTGCCTGCCTCTGCCTCACAAGTGCTGAGATTAAAGGTGTGTGCCACCACCACTCAACAATTTGTTTTCTTAAAGCTAAGCTTTCTCATGTATTCTTTTACCATATTTCCCATCAATCAAATGATAAAATTAACAAATTGCCCTCTCATGGATACTGACTGGAAAGAATGAAGTGTTTGAGAGAGGGAGACATGCTTTGAAATTCGGGAAACATTTAAGAAAGGCTAAAATGTATGCAGTTATGTCCAGTTATCTTTTCCATCTTATGTGTCTTCAGTTGGTAGAGCATAAATCTGTTAGAGTTACTGTTACATTGCTCTGAGGAGATGCCATGTCCAAGGCAACTTAAAAGGAAGCATTTTATTGGAGACTTGACTATAGTTTCAGGGGGCTAATCCATAATCATGGTGGGGAGCAGAACAGCAAGTAGGCACGGTGCTGGAACAGTAGCTAAGAGCTTTTCATCCTGGTCTGTAGACAGAGAGGGAGTCACTGAGCCTGGTGTGGGCTTTTGAAACCGCAAAGCCTACCCCTAGTGACACACCTCATCCAAAAAGGCCATACCTCCTAATCTTTCTTAAGTAGTTCAGCAGCTGGGGGGCTAAGCATGCAAATACATGAGCCTAGGGGAGCCATTCTTGTTCAGACTACCCCAAGATCATGATGGAGTTACCCCATTCCACAAGAAATATTTTACATCATGTTCTATGTGTGTATAATGAAGTTCCTTAACAGCCCTAATTTCGCATATGTGTAGTGCATCTGCTAGGTTTATATAGTTTTAAAGTTCTGTATTTAACTTCTTAAATAACGGCTAAGATTGATTCATTTGGGGGTTTTAACCCACTATTTGAAAAAACTTGGATCTATTCTTCAGGAACTTGGAGCTAAGCCAATTAAGATATAGTATTATTCTAGCTACAGGAATGTATATAGCTCAGTATAGGCTAGTAAAAAGCAAAGACAATATTTGGGGGAGTTAGAAAATATTTCTTAGCTGGGTGGTAGTGGTACACACCTTTAATCTCAGCATTTGGGAGGCAGAGACAGGCGGATCTCTGTGAGTTTGAGGCCAGCCTGGTCTACAAAGAGAGTTCCAGGACAGGTTTCAAAGCAACAGAAAAACTCTGTCTCAAAAAACAAAACAAAACAAACAAAAAGAAAAGGAACTATTTCTTTACCTTTGAGGAAGTGACATGTATGCATGACAGCGCTAGAGTACTGTGGCGCCGTAACTCACCACCTATGGAAACCAATGCATATAAATGAGTGCAAAGCCAAAAATAGGATGAGAAATTAAAACTTGGGCCCTAACCAAACCATACAATTGACCACTACCTTGCTTTCATTTTTTTTAATTAACTGGACTAATAAATAGTTTTTAATGTCCAAAACAGTTTTAGTTGTATTTTCTATTATTATACAAAATTATCTTAACATGGTGGTCTGGTCTAAAAGGAAAGCAATAAGTAAGAAGAATTTCTTGAACTTTCCTGTGGTATGTGCTGTCCCAGATTAACATGGTTTTCTAGCCATCCACTAGGGTTTCCACTTAAAACTACAACTGGTATCGTTTTATAGATGAAAAGCTCAATCAGAACATGACTTAACAATAGATATCATCAAACGTTCTTTTCTCTCAGTGGGACAACTTGACAATTCATGGATTTTTTTTTAAGTTTACACTAGGCTAGTCCTGAATTTGCTATATGATTGAAATTAGAGATTAGAACCTGTTCAATTTTTCTTTAATTTGCTGAAGGTTAGCCTCTTACGGTTTTATTGCTGTGAAGAGACACCATGACCACTGCAACTCTTATGAAGGAAAACATTTAATTGGTGGCTTCCAGTTCAGACGTTTAGTCCAGTATTGCGATTGCACGGAAGTACGGCAGCACTTGGGCAGCTGGAAAGGCAGCTGAGAGTTCTCCCTCTGGATTGGCAGTCAGCAGGAAGAACAAGCTTGACCTTCTGAACCCTCGAACCTCCCCCCACCCACACATACAGTGACGTACTTCCTCCAACAAAGCTACATCTCCAGTCATACCACTCCTTAGGGGCCTGTGGAAACCATTTTCATTCAACCCACTACAGTTAATAAAGATGATGAAATTTATAAACAGCACCTTAGTAAGTCATGATTTGTAGAGGACATTCCAGGCATAAGTAGTTTGAGTAGTTTTCTACTTTAAAAGTTATTTTTTGTCAAAAGCTTTAAATAAGTACTCTAAAGAAGCCATTAATATAAGCATGGTCCCTACACAAGACAGTCTTGAAAAGCTAAATTTTTTTAAAATATTTATTTATTATGTATACAATATTCTGTCTGCATGTATACCTGCAGGCCAGAAGAGGGCACCAGACCTTATTACAGATGGTTGTGAGCCACCATGTGGTTGCTGGGAATTGAACTCTGTACCTTTGGAAGAGCAGACAATACTCTTAACCACTGAGCCATCTCTCCAGCCCAAAAAGCTAAATTTTTATGATGGTACTTTGAAAGACTTATGAGATCTTTTACTTTAAAGGCCACTTTGAGAAATGTACATAGTAGTTGAAAGACTCAGTTTTCTGGTTTTGTTTCCTTGAGATAGGGACTCTGTAACCCAGGATAGCACAGAATTCTCCTTGTAGCCCAAGCTAGCCTAGAACTCTATCCTGCTGCAGCCTCCCAAGTACTAAGAGTGCAGATGTGCATCGGTGTCCCTGGCTTGTGACTGTTTTTAGGAGTAGGACATACTTTGGGCTTCTTTCATACTATGTAACCCTTTTCTATCACGCTCTTTGTGTCATTTAAATTGAACGATTACCTGGTTTGACCTAGAGAAATAGAGTGCACAAGTCAGACCTGTAATCTTTAAAAATCCCCAAATTTGCTGTTTTAGAGTTGTTGGGTTTTTTTGGGGGGTGGGGGTGTTTTTTTTTCGAGACAGGGTTTCTCTGTAGCTTTGGAGTTTATCCTGGAACTAGCTCTTGTAGACCAGGCTAGCCTCGAACTCACAGCGATTCGCCTGCCTCTGCCACCTGAGTGCTAGGATTAAAGGCGCGCGCCACAACCGCCCAGCATGTCTTAGAGTTTTTATTGCTGTGACCAAAAAGCAAGTTTGTGTAGTAAAGGATCTGTTTGGTTTACATTTTCACATCACTGTTCATCATCAAAAAAGTCAGGACAGAAATCTGTGGAGGCCCGAAAATGTCAGCCTATTTCCCTGTTGACCAAAGATCAGAGAATTGAAACTTACCTCTAGTTCCTTCAAGGTTATTTCTACCTCAAACAAAGGGACCTAGACAGGAACCAGAGAGTTCTGCTCTCTCAAGGTTATTGTCAACAGGTGTGGCTAATAGCCAAACCTTGAACTCCAGGAATAGAGAAGTAGATGTGTCCCAAACTCAAACAAAAATCTAAGGATCCAACTAAGTGCCAGTTCCCTTAAGGAGAGAAGTTTGGATTCTGCTCAGGGAGTGGTTTGCCTACAGGATGCTTTGGTCTAGGGTGTTTAAGTGTGACTTGTTTTATTCTAGCAACAGAATGTTTAACTGTAAATATAGCCTCACAACCTTCAATTAGTATGCTCTTTTCCTAGTATCATGTTAAGGCAGTTTTTTGTCTCACTCCTACCTTTTAGGGTCAGGGGTATTTAAAGTAATTGGAAATTCAATACTCATTGGAATTCCCTCCCGATACTATCTTGTTTCTCCATTTTATTATTTTCATTCGCATCTTCACATTCTTTACTATATTTCTAAATCCCCACGCCTCTAACCTGGCAAGAGGTATTTTTGTCAAAGCTGGTCCCCGACAGAAATTCAAACGGCAGAAACCTGGAGGCCAGAGCTGATGCAGAGGCCATGGAGGGGAGCTACTTACTGACTTGCTCAGCCTGCTTTATTATAGGACCATTGCCTAGTGATGGCCCTACCCACAATGGGCTGAGCCCTTTCCTATTTATCGCTAATTAAGAAAACAGATCTTACAGCCAGATCTGAGGTTCCCTTGTGTCAAGTTGATATAAAACTCCCCAGGACTTTTGCATTTCCTTTTATCAAATAAAGGAATGACTATCACATGAAGAGGCTTTAACTAGATCCCTTCAATTGCACAGCTGCTGAATCTTTGCTGCTATGTCTCTTTCCTACTCTTCCTCTCATCTGAGAATTCTTGGTGAGTAGATTTTGTTGTTGGAGTTATTTTAAGGTTAATTTTTAAATTCTATTGAATTTTTAAATTCTCCTTGAATCGTGATATCAAGCCTTCATATAAAAGTATTTTTTCCTTCCTTCCCAAACTATGTAAAGGAGACTAGTGATCTGAATAGTTGAGCATGGAATAAACTTAGACAATAAGACTTTATCCCAATGCTTTTCTCTGCTATGTGATAGTGTTTTCAAAAGTATTAGTCCGTCCATATTCAGAGCATTCATGGGCGTTAGGTAGGTAACTCATTCTTCATAAGCTACATAACTAAGTAATACCCATGAAAGAATTCATTGTTTAACACTTAGGAAAGACTTCATTCTCTTTACAGGAACCTTTGAAGAGCAAATGTTAGTTTTACTCTCCCAGACGATCAACTAAAAGACACTGCTTGTTAAGCTAGCAGAAGGAAACAACTGTAGTGTTCTTTTCAAACATGCAAATGATTTTGGCGTGCTTGAAGAGTTTACCCGTTTCATTCAGCAACTCTGATTCACCATTTTTCTTCTCAACCAAGCAGAGACACAAGTGAATACTTCTGCCCTGACAGCAACCCACTTTTGAAGTGCATGTCATCTAAATGTACACATGGGATCTATCAAAGCACCACAGTTTGATCAGACAGTTGTCATCAGGAATCAAACCACTTTTTCAGACCTTGTGTGTGTGTGTGTGTGTGTGTGCGTGTGTGTGCATGTGTTGGGAGGGTAGGTTCTGTTGTGTGATGTTTTATTCATATTGCTTTTGAGGGGGATGGGGGCCCACCACCACCCAGCTCCCAAATAAATCACACATGGAGGCTTATGCTTAATTATGAATGCCCAGCCTTAGCTTGGCTTGTTTATAGCCAGCTTTTCTTACGTTAACTCACTACCTTTTGCCTCTGGGCTTTTTCCTTTTCTTACTTCTGTACACTTTTCTTTACTTCTTTCTCCGTGGCTTGCTGTGTCGCTAAGTGACTGGCCTGTAGCATCCTCTTCATAATCTCTGGCTCCTTGTGTGCCCTCCTTCTATTTAGTCTCTCTGCCTGCTAGCCCCACCTATCCTTGCTCCCGCCTTGCTATTGGCCAGTCAACTCTATTAGGACTATCAGGTGTTTTAGACAGGCAAAGAATCATAGCTTCTTTGATAATCAGATACAGCATACACAAGAGTAGCACATGTTAAAATAATATTCCCCAGCAAGGTTCTGACAATAAATTGTATTTATTCTAGAAAACAGGTTACTCTGAAACCTGCAGTATCCAGATGAGTACAGAATCTTGTTTTTTTTTCTGTGTATAGTTCTGAGTTTAGTGACTTCTCAGTTTTACTCAGTAAGCTGAGTTAGGACATTTTCATATTGTTCTTGGGTTAATCCAACACTAAATTCTGCAATACTACTGAGTAATCTGTATCTGTTGTACTGTTGATTCTTTTTATACTTAAGAGAAAAGGCACTCTTATCAGCTAAACTATGTGCCAAGAGATGAGTAAAGCTTATGAAATTGAGAACTCAAACTCTGTTATCATAATCAATGAAGAATTGTTCAGTCCACATATAAAGCTCTATTTGTAAATAAACCAAGCCACTGCTGTGTGTTGTACAACTGCTAATAAAATAACCTTAGGGAGTTGTGACAAAACTAATGATAAACATTGCATTTTCAAGTCAAAATATTTTGAAACTTAACCTTGACTATTTCTTAATAAATGCTTAAATTGACTTTTTCATTTTATTATAGTATATAAGAGAAAATGTAAGCATCAAGAGGGCAGATTCTTGAGTTTCTTATCTGTCTTTGTGTTCTGAACATAAAATTATACCTTAGCCTAATGGTTCTTTACTAAGTAAAGGTTGAATGTTAGTTACATGGTAGTGATGGAAAGGGATTAGGTGTGACTCTCAGGTCTAATAACTTTCTAACTGTGGGACCCCGAACAAGTCACTTTAGTCTTCTGGCCCTAAGTTTCCTCATCTCTTAAAGGTAAATAATAATAATTGGCCAGGCATGATAGCACACTCCTATAATTGTAGTACTTAAGAGATGAAGGTAGAAAAATGAGTACAGTATTGGCCTTAGCTACATGAGAATCCATCTCAAAAAAAAAAGTGATCTAATTATGTAAAACCACCATGGAAAATTCTGTAGCTTTATTTAAAGTCATTATAATTATAAAGTCATTATAATTATAAAGTATAATTATATATTTCAATACCAACAGTGTTATAACACAGTGTAGCCTGCAAGAGTAAACTTGAGTTCATAGTAACTTTTTTTTCTCTTCAATAATATACTGAGTGAGCCGGGCGGTGGTGGCGCACGCCTTTAATCCCAGCACTGGGAGGCAGAGGCAGGTGGATCTCTGTGAGTTCGAGGCCAGCCTGGTCTAGAAGAGCTAGTTCCAGGACAGGAACCAAAAAAGCTACGGAGAAACCCTGTCTCGAAAAATCAAAATAATAATAATAATAATAATAATAATAATAATAATAATAATATACTGAGTGCCAATTGCTTTATGTAATTTCATTTAATACATCTGTGAAGTAGTATATTAATCCTGTTTTGAAGATGAAGTTTGTTATCTGATGCATTAAAAAAAGAAGGAAAAAAGAAAGAAAGGGAAGGGAAGGGGAGGGGAGGGGGGGGGGGGGGGGGGGGGGAGAGGAGAGGAGAGGAGAGGAGAGGAAAGGAAAGGAAAGGAAAGGAAAGGAAAGGAAAGGAAAGGAAAGGAAAGGAAAGGAAAGGAAAATGCCAGGTGGTGGTGGCATACACTTTAAGTCCCAGGACTTTGGAGTCAGAGGTAATCAGATCTCTGCAAGTTCAAGGCCAACCTGGTCTACAGTGTGAGTTCCAGGACAACCAACACTGCTACACAGAGAAGCCATGTCTTAAGAGAAAAAAAAAAAGTTGATATTTTAAGGCTAGTAATTTTTGAGGGTTTTTTTGGTTGTTTGTTTGTTTGGCTGGTTTTTTTTTTTTTTT